ATGTAAAGTAAATAAGGTTTTTAAAATGTTCAAGAAGCTTCATTTAAAATTAAATTAAATGCAGATCCCCCCGGACTGGTGGCCAGGACCCAGGCAGTGTGAGTGCCACTGAAAATCAGCTCGCTTGCCGCCGGTTGCCTACCCCTGCTCTATAAAAATGATTTAGATCCATAAGCAGGGAATGCCTTTTTAATAGTCCCATATCCAGTTGTTACCCAGCTGACCTGTATTCTGAGCTTGGGAGGCAGGGCGTGGGAAGAAGTAGACTTATAAAAAAAATACACTCTAAAATAGCTACAATAAAAATGTAAAGAGGAAACCTTCTTGACTGAGACACTTTTATCTGTTGCTAAACTAGATGATCTGTGCCCCCAGCTTACACTGAATCAGATGCTTCATGATGTATTGTCCTTAAAATATTGAAGCTGAGATCTCCGTTGGCACCAGAGACAAGGGCAACTGCCTTGGCCACGAGGTCTATTTTATAGATTTCAGAAGTGAGCCTCTTGTCTCTTGACATATAAACATGTTCCCAATGATTAGCAAAGTACCATGTCATTTTGAAGGAAGAAGGGGAATTCCTTACATCACATTAAACGTTGAAATATTGATCTTTTTGTGACCATGAGAGTATCCTAATTCTATATCTCAGTGTTGTCAACTCTTGCCATTTTTAACTCAAAGCTCATACATAATACGTGGTGGTTTTCTTAAAGTGCCAGTTCCTGGAGTCATGTGATTGTGTAGTATTGTTAGCAGTGACTCTGAAACAGACTTGGAGGTCATGGTGGATATACAGCTAAACATGAGTGTCACACTGTCTGAAGTGGCTCACCACTGCGAGTGCCCCTACCTCAGGGCAGACTGTCAGAAAACAGGGCCGATTCCCCCAAGCTGCTGGTGTGTGCTGTAATTAGATGTAATCAAACCAGTAACAAATGTGAGTTCCTGGATCACTAGACCACTCTGACCACAGAGTCACAGACAGTCCCCTTAGACTCACCAGACTATCTGGCCACCCGGACAAACTGTGACTCTGCTCTGAGCTGGCACCTGGGTTGCCAGCATCACAGTGAGTTCCCACTATGATGCTGCAGCCAAAAGGGTTGGTGCCATCCTCAGATGTATAAACAGGGTATAAGGTAGGAGAGGTAAATTCTTGTATTGGACCAATTTCTGTTGGTGAAATAGACAAGCTTTCGAGCTATACAAGCTATTCTTTCAGGCCTCGGAAAGGTACTCGGAGTGTCACAAATACACAGTGGAACAGATTTTTTAGCAAAAGTAGTTAACCCATATTCTAAGAGACCATTCAAGGTGAAGTGGCCCATTAACACCTCTGCAGTCATAGGACAAAGAAGGGGGAGTTAGTGGGTTACAGGTTGTAGCAATAAGCTATAAATCCAGTGTCTTTTTTTTTAAGCCCGTCTAGCAAAGTTATGAATTTACGCTTCTGGGCTTGTCTTTTGAAGACCTTGTGCAGATTTCCTTTGAGGACAAGGACTGACAGGTCAGATCGGGTGTGTTTGTCTTTTATCATTTTTCTGTGTGAGCTCATTTTGAGAGCATAGTGATTTCTAGTTCCACCCTCATAGTTGGTATTGGGGCATTGAGTTGGTGGGTCTTGGTCTGTGTAAAGCTTGCTTCTGATGATGAGTTTGGTGAAGGGGGGCGGGTTGAAGGCCAGAAGAAGGGGTTCAGGAAAGATTTCTTTCAGGATGTGGTTCCATTGAGTATGGGTTGTAATTGTACAGTGATACTCCATTTGGGTTCCAGTGTAGGGTGGTAGGTGACAACTAGGAGTTAAGGTTCCCCCAAATCCCCATTTTGGGTGTGTATCCTGGGCTTTCTCCTAGAAGCATGTCCTGTGGTATGAGTGCCTGGCTGTAGAAAACAGATTTCTTTGTGTGGTTACTGGATGTTTGATGGTAAGTGTGGTGATCTGTGGGTTTTTTTTGTATATAGTTGTTTGTTGATGCTGATATGGGAGTAATTGAGAGAGACTGTGATGAATGGGTGTTGGTTGTGGCTGAAATCTATGAGGGAATTTAGGTCATCTGTCCAGAAGATGAAAATATCATCGATATATCTCAGGTACATTATTGCTTTTGTTGTGCATTTATCCAGAAATTCTTCCTCAAGTTGGCCCATGAAGAGATTGGGGAGCCATCGTAGTACCCCTGTCTGTTCCCATGGTTTGGACCAAGTGTTTGTTGTTGAATGTAAAATTGTTATGGGTGAGGATTAAATGGATGAGTTTGGCAATGTGCTTGAGGTGGATATCTGAGCGTTGCCCATTATCTTGTAGATATTTGAGGCAGACAGCGATGCTGCCATTGTGATGGATGTTGGTACAGAGGGAGGTGACAACCATGGTGGCAAGGATGGTGTTCTGAAGGAGGTTGTTAATACTGCAGTGTTTCTGGAGGAAGTCAGTTGTGTCCTGGAGGAAGGAGGGTGGTGTGGTGAATGGTTTGAGGATGGTTTCTATGAGTCCTGATGTTCCTTCAGTAAGAGTGCCATGGCCAGATATGATGGGTCTGCGTGGGTTCCCTTGTTTGTGTATCTTGGGAAGCATGTAGAAAGTCCATGGGGTGCGTTCACAGAAGATGATGTTTTAGAGTTACTCTTGCAGTTGTTTGAAGAAGGATTTGATAATATCCTCGAATTCCTGGATGAATTGTGGTTTGTGGGAGGGTCTTTGAGTTCTTTGTCCTATGACTGGAAAGCTGTTAACAGGCCACTTCACTTTGAATGGTCTCTTAGCACAGTGTTTTTCAAACTGTGGGTCGCGACCCAGCATGTAAGGCACTGGGTCAGCACCGCCAACTGGGACATTAAAAGTCCCATCAGCGGTGCTGCCCAGCTAAGGAGGCTAATGCCTACCTTTTCTGACACCATGCTGTGCTCCGGAAACAGCCAGCAGTGAGTCCGGCTTCTAGGCAGGGGGGCCATGGGGCTCCGCGCGCTGCCCCCGCCCCGAGCACTGGCTCTGCACTTGGTCAATGGGAACTGGGTGGGGGGAGCCAGACCTGCTGTTGGCCGCTTCCAGGGTGCAGTGTGGTCCGCAGTGCCAGGACAGGCGGGAAGCGTGCCTCTGCACCCCAGCTGACCGGGAACCGCCAGAGGTGAGTCCATGCCCCAGAGCTTGTCTCTCTCACCAACAGAGGCTGGTCCCATAAAATATATTACCTCACCCACCTTCTCTTTCTTAGAATATGTGTTAAATATTTATGCTCAACAATCTGTTCTTTTATGTGACATTCTAAGTACCTTTTCCAGAGCTAAAGAAGAAAGCTCTGTGTAGCTTGAAAGCGTGTCTCTCACCTGCTGAAGTTGGTCCAATAAAAGATATTACCTCACTCACCTTGTGTGTCTCATATTCTGGGACCTGCGGGCTACCACAAAACTGCAATAAACAGGGATAGGAATTTGCCAGATGCCTTTTTCCCTCCCTATGAGGGAAAAATCTGGGTAAAAACCTGCAGTAAGGTTATTCTCCAATCCTGTTATGAATCCTTGTTTGCTGTGGAGATTCTCTTTGGCTGCCCTCTATTTTTGGAGGTTTGGAAGCCTCATTGGGATGTTCCGAGCCAGATGATCTAACATCTGGGTCTCAGCTTGGCTGGGCAGGAGTGCTTTCTAGTGTAAGTGCACATCTGTAAATGGGACCACTGTCATGGTTTCCATCCCTCCAACACAGCAGGGCTGTGCCAAATGTCCAGCAGTTTGTGGTGTTTGGGGGTGAGGAGAGATGGATTCCAGGATATTTTTTTTTCTTCTGCTTAAGAGACGAGATTGACATAAACTCTGTTAATCGGCAGCAGTTCAACATCTGCAACGTCAACAGCTGCATTTGGGGAATGCTGTTTGAGAATTGTTTTGGGAAGAGTTCTGGTTAACTCCAGTTGTTCAGTAAGATAGTAGATTGATGGTTAAACCTTGGAAGTTATCTTGCTTCACTATAAAATCGATCACAGCCACACTATAAGTTTCTTGCATTTTCTTATCCCCCGTACTTTGCATATCCTTTCTGTGGGAGAGGTTGGGAGTTGCATGGAAAAACAAATGCACACTGGAAAAAACGTGACATTGTTTTCACGTGTAGTAACCCCTCCCTCCACCCAAGCATGTGCTACTGCCCATATCTCAGCTTTAAATCGGGGCGGGGAGGGGAGGAGGGAGGAGGAGGAACAATAGGCTGAGTCATCTGGCTCCATGTGTATATTTACAAAAGAAAGGCTGGAAAATCATAGGACTGGTGGAGAAAGCTGGATGATTCTGGGCAGATACAAAGGCAGTTGTAGGGTCTCCAACACCTCTGCTTTATCATTTGCAAATATAAACAAATAAATTTCAATAGTGTAATGGGATCACCAAGGGCAAGATTCAGGAAAACCAGGGATAAAATAATGGGGCCAAATTGCTCAATTTTCCTTGGAAAACATCACGTATTAGCACTAGGGAGGAACAGAAAGGTGAAAGGGCTAGAAGAATAAAGCACTTTGATTTCTAATGCTCATGACTCCATCCAAGATGGGGGCAGTAGGGGAAAGCATGATTCTTTCTCTCTTCCCAAAGGACCAGACTTGATGGAGGAATTTAGTGTGTTGTGTTGACAATTCCAGTTGCTGGGGCCTTATTTTGATCTCATTTACAGGCCCCAGATTTATGAATTCCAGGTCTGATCCGCAGACACATTTTGGAACAGCTTAGCCAGCTCGTGGGAGATTTGCCTGTGCGGGAAGAATTCTCTGCTCCTGTGGAGCTGCCATAGAGGCATCTGTGCCCTCCCCCCAAACTGTAGCCAATAGGGTGTGGCAAAGGCTATTGGGGCATTGCTGGAGTGTCCCTGCACCCTACCTATCCCCAGAACAGCCTCTTGGGGCAGTGGCCATACGGCTGAATGTATCTCAGCAGCAGCCCTCCAGCATCAGGTGCAGAAAGCAGTGGATTTACGTAGTGCGACAGGGTCAGGCCAGAAGGCTACAGGAGAGTGATTTTTTTTTTTTTTTTTTTGGTGAAAAACTGATCTTTATTTTCCAGAAATATACAAACTTATTCTCTCATTTCTCCATCTTCTTCTTCTACTCCTCTGATGTACAGGACATTGTTACATCTTAACAAAACTTCACCAAGGTGTCCTGACAATGCACCATCTATGTATTCTTCTGTGTCTGCAAGCTGCATGTTCATGTAGTCGTCGACAGACACCAGGTAGCCCTTGTACTCCATCCCCCACTTCAGCTTCACCATCACCAGCTTCCCTGTCAGCCCGATCAGGAAGGGCTTGGGGTTCAGGGGCAAGCTCATCGTAACGCGGCCTGGCACAAGGCAGTGGTAAAAACAAAAATTACTTGCAAAAATTACGTGCACCTGCTGGAGAGTGATAGAAGGCAGCTATATTAGCCCCAGGTTAAGTAGGTCCCTTTTCCCTGGGTAAGGTAACAGGGAAGGTTCCAGAACAATCATGAACTTTCTGGAAACAATTAAGGCAGACAGGCTGATTAGAACACCTGAAGCTAATCAAGAAGCTGCTAGAATCAATTAAGGCAGGCTAATCAGGGCACCTGGGTTTAAAAAGGAGCTCACTTCAGTTTGTGTTGTGTGTGTGAGGAGCTGGGAACAAGATGTGCAAGAAACTGAGAGTGAAAAGGCGTAGTACTGGAAGACTGAGAAGTACAAGCATTATCAGACATCAGGAGGAAGGTCCTGTGGTGAGAATAAAGAAGGTGTTGGGAGGAGGCCATGGGGAAGTAGCCCAGGGAGTTGTAGCTGTCACGCAGCTGTTACAGGAGCCACTGTAAACAGCTGCAATCCACAGGGCCCTGGGCTGGAACCTGGAGTAGGGGGCGGGCCCGGGTTCCCCCCATTCCTCCATCCCCCCTGCAATTTCCTACTTGATACTGGAGGAGTTGACCTGGACTGTGGGTTCCACCAGAGGGGAAGGTCTCTGGCCTGTTCCCCGATCCACTAGGTGGATCAGCAGAGACTGTGGGGATTGTTCTTCTTCCTTTTCCCCATGCTGGCCAGTGATGAGGCTAACTGAGTGAATGGCAGATTTGAGCCACGAAAGTGGCCAAACTGAGGGCTGCCATGAACCTCTGAGGCGAGCAAATCCACCAATAAGCACAGGACCCACCAAGGCAGAGGAGGAACTTTGTCACAGTAGGCATGAGACTTATGGAAAATATACAGAAACAAAGTGAGAAACCCTTTTCCCTCTGCTCTCCCTACCCCCTTCCTGCCCCCAGACTAATGAAATAACAGCAAGGAATTTCTGACTGCTGTGCTCTTGGTTTCTCTCCCTTTTCTCCTTTCACTACTACTGCTGATTGCTGATCTCTTCCTAATGAAGAAACTCACACGAGGATGCCTATATCCAGGGGAGGCATTTCCTCGTTCACTATAGTACCGATTTTTTGTGGCAAAAGCACATCATACTTGGATCAAAAATTCTATTTATCTTTTCCAAGGAGAACATTGTAAAAGCTGCTTTCACCAAAGGGGAGAGGGCTTGTTTCTGGACCCTAGGAAGGATGGTAGGATAGTTGTGATGGGTTGGGTTGAAGGGAACCATCTCTTGTCGTTTGATTTCTCTTATGTTCAGGGAAACAGGACTTGGTTCCTTCTTTGATGCAATCCTCTTTATTTACAAAGCTACCTGATGCTTTAATCAATTTCTCTTTCTAATGGGCCCCACAGGGCCCCAAACTTTGGCTAATTGCTTGGGTCAAAAAGGGGTAACAGTATGATCTTGCTACTCCCCTCCCTTAAGAATAAGAACATAAGAATGGCCATACTGGGTCAGACCAAAAGTCCATCCAGTCCAGTATCCTGTCTGCTGACAGTGGGCAATGCCAGGTGCCCCAGAGGGAGAGAACCTAACAGGTAATGATCAAGTGATCTCTCTCCTGCCATCCATCTCCACCCTCTGACAAACAGAAACTAGGGACACCATTCCTTGCCCATCCTGGCTAATAGCCATTAATGGTCTTAACCTCTATGAATTTACCCAGTTCTCTTTTAAACCCTGTTATAGTCCTAGCCTTCATAACATCCTCAGGCAAGGAGTTCCGCAGGTTGACTGTGCGCTGTGTGAAGAAGAACTTCCTTTTATTTGTTTTAAACCTGCTGCCCATTAATTTCATTTGGTGGCCACTAGTTCTTATATTATGGGAACAAGTAAATAACTTTTCCTTATTCACTTTCTCCACACCACTCATGATTTTATAGACCTCTATCATATCCCCCCTTACTCTCCTCTTTTCCAAGCTGAAAAGTCCTAGCCTCTTTAATCTCTCTCATATAGGACCCATTCCAAACCCCTAATCATTTTTGTTGCCCTTCTCTGAACCTTTTCTAATGTCAGTATATCTTTTTTGAGATGAGGAGACCACATCTGTATGCAGTATTCAAGATGTGGGCATACCATGGATTTATATAAGGGCAATAAGTTATTCTCCGTCTTATTCTCTATCCTTTTTTTTTAATGATTCCTAACATCCTGTTTGCCTTTTTGACTCCCTCTGCACACTGTGTGGATGTCTTCAGAGAACGATCCTCGATGACTCAAAGATCTCTTTCCTGATTAGTTGTAGCTAAATTAGCCCCCATTGTATTGTATGTATAGTTGGGGTTATTTTTTCCAGTGTGCATTACTTTACATTTATCCACATTAAATTTCATTTGCTATTTTGTTGCCCAATCGCTTAGTTTTGTGAGATCTTTTTGAAGTTCTTCACAGTCTGTTTTGGTCTTAACTATCTTGAGCAGTTACTCCTTTCGCCAGATCATTTATGAATAAGTTGAATAGGGTCCTTGGACTGACCCTTGGTGAACACCACTAGTTATCCCTCTCCATTCTGAAAATTTAATGTTTATTCCTACCCTTTGTTCCCTGTCTTTTAACCAGTTCTCAATCCATGAAATGATCTTCCCTTTTATCCCAGGACAACTTAATTTACATAAGAGCCTTTGGTGAGGGACCTTGTCAAAGGCTTTCTGGAAATCGAAGTACACTTGGTCTCCCAATAGAGACCAAGGGGAAATGTCTATCTGTATGTTTGTCCTCTCCACAAAATCACAACCTCCACCATTGCAGACAATCTAATCTGAAGGATACAATGGAAGCTGATCACTCCATCCTCCCATAATATTAGAATAAGGAGTTACTTATTATGAAACTAATGGTAGGTAAATGTAAAGAAAAAGTGAGAAGAGACTATTTTGATCATCTGGTCTGACCTTCTGTATAACACAGGCCATAGAACTTCCCCAAAGTAATTCCTAAAGCATATCTTTTAGAAAAACACCCCATCTTCATTTAAAAAAGAATCCACCCTGATCTTTGGTAAATTGTTTCAATGGTTAATGACCTTCACTGTTAAAAATTGATGCATTATTATTAGCTTGACAATTCCAGTCTGGCATGTGACAACTGTTGTTCAGCTCCCACGGGATGCTCTCCTGAAAGTGTGTTCTCCTTGTGTTGTGAGTTCAAGACCTTGTCCTGACAGGGAAAGTGATTGGAATGTAAGGTGCCCCCAGCTCCTCACCAGAGAACTCAGCATTTCACAGGACTGGATAATGTTGTACTAGTGTGGTAATGGTTGTGCTAATATAATATCTATGTTAAGCATCCAAGTGGCAACGGGATATTTCCCAGAGATAAGTAGAGCTGGACTGAGCTGATATCAGTGGGAGTTGGGTGCCTCTGTGCTTTTGAAAATCCCACCAGGCACCTATCTGCATCTTTAGGTGCTTAAATACCTATGAAAATCTGGGCCTTAACTACTCTCTCTGTTTTCCCCATCTGCAATATGGCAAGCTTGTCACAGGGTGACTGCCCCTTTTAAGAGGCACTGTGCCCAGCCCTACTTGTGTTTCAGTCAGCTCTCCTTCCCAAGTGGGGAGAAATATCACAGTCCCATAATAGGCAGGTCAAGTGACTAATTAGGCTGGGGTGGAGAAAGAGAAGCCTTTAGAACAGTGGTTTTCCACCTGTGGTCCATGGACCCCTGGGGGTCCACAGACTATGTCTAAGGGGTCCACGAAAGGTTGTTATGATAGAACAGTGGTTTCTGCAAACTAAGAATTGCAAAGGGGTCCACACCTCCATCTGAAATTTTTTAGGGGTCCATAAATGAAAAGCGTTTGAAAAGCACTGCGAGCAGTGGCTCTGAATCTTTCCAGACTACTGTACCCCTTTCAGGAATCTGATTTTTGTGTTGCATAGCCCACGTTACACCTCACTTAAACTACTTGCTTACAAAATCTGACATAAAAAAATACAGAAGTGTCACAGCACACTATTACTGAAACGTTGCTGACTTTCTCATTTTTATCATAAATTCTAAAATTGATTGGAATATAAATATTGTACTTACATTTCAGTGTATCGTCTATACAGCAGTATAAACAACTCATTGTCTGTATGAAGTTGTAATTTGTACGGACTTCGTTAATGCTTTTTATGTACCCTGTTGTAAAAGTAGGCAAATATCTAGATGAGTTGATGTATCCCATGAAGGCCTCTGCGTACCCGCAGGGGTACATATACTCCCAGTTGAGAACCACGGCTCTAGAGAGCCAGAGAGATGCTTGTGCTGCTTTGCACACGCAGCCTCTAGAATTCGCTAACTTAGGTCAAAGAGTCAAATGCTTTTTTTAACAGGGCTGGACAGTTTTGAAAAAGGACTAGATGACTGTATAACCAATATTAACACCTGTCTCTATGCCAGGAAGAACAATTGGAACAATTTACCAAGGGTCATGGTGGATTCTCAGTCACTGGCAAATTTTGAGTCAAGATTGGCTGTTTTTCTAAATGGTATGCTCTAGGAATTATGTTGGGGAAAGTCTGTGGCCTGGATTCTGCGGGAGGTCAGATTAGACTCTCACAATGGTTCCTTCTGGCATTGGAATCTATGGATCAGATAGAGGGCTCTTAGGGTAATAAAAAATTATTCTTCAGGAAATGTGGTCACTACTATTGTAGTATCTAGAGCTCCCAGCTGAGATCAGGGCCTTTTTGTGGTAGGCAAAAAGCAGCAAACTGGGGAGACCACCCATGTCTCCTGAGTCTCAGTCCAGTGCTCCAGCCACCAGACCATGTTGGCTGATTCAGGGGTCAAGCTGTCTTATGGAAGGTCCACTTTTCTCTGCAATATCACCAGATACTGGTCATAGCTGAAAGCAGGATTTGATGGATTAAGGATCTGGTCTGTTCTTGCAACCTCTCTTTTCATGTGGTCGTGCCATGGAGATTTAAGACAACGGGATTTCTGTTTTATTCATTCATAATTCCATAAAGTTCTAATCAATGGTCTGGTGATGGCTTTCAGCTATCTTGGA